TCTTATTAATAGTATTATTACCATTATTAATTTTTTTTTACTGGTATAATAATCATTAGTATTTTAAGTTTTATTTCATTTCAGTTATTAAATTGTTCTTATCTCAACCTACAAGTATCTTACCCTTCCCATTCTCTCCCCTATTCCCTGGGTGGCAGGAGAGTGAGCGGCTGTGTTTGGCTGCTGGCCAAGTGAAACCGCCACCGGTCACCAATTAGCAGGGAAGGTGGTTAATGAGAAGGCTGGTTGGGTGTGAGGGTGAAGATGAAGGTATCTCCTTGGAGGAGCTGATGTGAGGCTGTCTGTCCCCTGAGGCTGGGCAGGGAGGTGAAGCCCAGCCTGGTTTAATGTGAAGCCCCATCTCTGATCACCTCACCCTACCCAGGGGTGGGGCCAAACCCCCGGGACTTCCCACCACTCCAGAGGGTGGGAAGCTCTCTGGGAATGCCGGCTCAGGAGCAGCTGATCTCCAGGGCTGAGGAGAAAGGAGCCGGAGAAACTCGTGGCTGTAATTTGGGTCGAGGTGGGTGCTGAGCCTCTTCCAGCCCTGGGAGCAGCTTGGGAAGGGGGGGTGAGCTGTGGCTTTGCTCATCTGATGCAAGCTAGACACTTTGGATATTTGGAGAATAGATTTATTCCACAAAAAAATGTTTCTAGAGAATTAGTCTGGTGTTTCATGACTGTTGCTGGAGTTGCATGCTGGTTTTTAGGGACAGGCTCCAAGGGGAGGTGTCGCTGCGTGGTGGCATGCTGCGAGCCGTGTGTCATGTTCCGACTCTTCCTCGGGCGTGAGGAAGCCCTGGAGCTCTGTTTGAGCAACCTCATCCCATACCCTGTGACCACATCGGGGTTTGACCCCTTTCCCAAACTGCAGACTCATCCCTTGTGATCCCATGACCAAGGCGTTGCTGCCGGAGCGCGAGCGGGAAGGTGATGTCATGGGAGGGGAAAAATCCAAAGGTTACGGAGGACGGAGGAGCACGGGAGCTGCCGTGGGCAGTGATGGGTGTCGTGCTTCCTCATGAGTCACCCTGACGGGGCTGGCGTTTCACCGGGGACACCGAGACGTGGAGCGTGAGCCGGGGCTGATGCTGTCGGGGGATTTGTGTCCCCATGGTGGGACGTTGTTGCGGAGGGGAAGGTGCTCTCTGCTGCCCGTGCCAGAAGCCTTTGGGGTGCATCCAGGTGTGTTGGCATGTGGTGCTTGAGAAGAGGCTTATCCCAAGCCTTCCCATGGCCAATTAACAGTTGGAAATGTCCCCAGAGATATCACAAAGCGTCCCTGGGCTGTGTCAGCCCGCAGGGAGCTGGTGAGAGGTGCGGGAAGCCCGTCTGAGTGCAGAGGAGGTGCAGGTGCCCCTGGCTTTGCAGCCACACCAGTGATGTTTAATGATTCGGAGATCCTGGTGTAAATCATTGCCAGCGCAGCGCAGGGCCGCAGGCGTGCGTGGGATGGGGACAAAGGTGGGTCTGGCTGCAGGGAGACCCCATGCCAAGGAGGGGATGTGAGGCTGGAGTGCTTGACATCTGATGGAGGGGTGAGGTTGGCCATGGGAGGTGGTGAGGTGAGAAGAGAGCAGTGCTCACGTGAGATGATGCCGAGACGGTGAGTGAGGGTCGAGTGCTCAGGATTTTGTACAGTAGGAGAGCGTAGTTATGGTGAACAAATGGGAAATCATGGAGGAGAAATCCCTCGAGGATTATGAAACTGGTGCAACCACAGAGCAGGGAATTTCTCTGTTGCTGGATCAAGGAGGACAGCAGCGTCTTTGTGTGCTCCACCTCGTCTGGCTGCAGTAGATGCCACCTTGGAGATATGATCCCAGCCACAGCGTGTTCTTTAGGGTGAGTTGGTGGTTGGTTTGGGGCTTCCCTGACCCCTCAAGTTGTGGCACGCTTTCACCACACTGACCAGTGTCCGTCTTGGTGGGGCTGCCCTCGCTGCTCCAGACAGCGCCGGGGATGCTGGATCCGAGACAGAGTGAGCAGCAGGTCCCTTCTCTGGGGCTGACGTCAGGGCACCAGCGTTATTGCTGAAGCAGCGATGGGAGCGCGCTCTGGAAAGCCAGAAGAAGAGCTAATTCAATGGAGAGACAGATAAAGTCACATCTCCTGCTGTAATCGGATTTGCCTGGGCTGCAGGGCAGCACAGCGAGGGATCTGTGTCGAACTTTCAGGCACAGAGATGATGTGGAAGCTGAAATCATGTCCTCTTCCAGAGCTGAGGTGTCTAAGGGAAGGCAGAGCGATCGGAACAGGCATGGTGGCTCAGACCCCACGGGTGAACGTGACCAGCCTGCGTGTTTTCTGTCCCCACCGCAGCAGTTTGCAGGTGAAGTCCTGGCTGGCTGATGTCCCTTTGTGAAGTGCCGTGCTGAACAGCACAGGGATGGGAGTTGGTGTTTATCACTGGGTAAGGAAAAAACCCAGCAGCCACCCATTGAGTGAATTTTGGAAGAGCCAAAAGGAGAAGCAGAGGTGTTGATTAATTGGAGACAGAACAAGGGGTGATGGCTTGAAACTGGACGAGGGGAGATGGAGATGAGATGTGAGGAAGAAATTCTTCACTGTGAGGGTGGTCAGACAGTGTCCCAGGTTGGCCAGAGAAGCTGTGGCTGCTCCTCCCTGGAAGTGTTCTCGGCCAGGCTGGATGAGGCTTTGAGCAACCTGGTCTAGTGGAAGGTGTCCCTGCTGCTGGCAGGGGGGTTGGGACTGGATGAGCTTTAAGGTCCCTTCCCACCCAAACCAGTCTGTGATTCTATGACGTGCTGCTGCTGACGATTGCTCTCCATAGGCGGGATGTTGGCAAGGACCTTTCAGATGTCACATTTGCCTCATCCTCAGCACCTGCTTTTTAGGATCAAACGAAAGCCGAGGGCAGGTGATGCCTTCCCCAGCTCTGGCCGTGGGGCTGGGCACAGCGGGCTTGTCCCTGCCTGCGTGCCGGCAGCTCCCGTCGGGCAGGGCTCGGCAGCTCACGTTCCCCCAATAACCCTGGACAGACCGTGGGAGCCAAGACTTTGCCCAGCCCCAGGTCCATGGAGACACCAACAAGCCCCATGCAGGACAAGGGCTGCGTCTGAAGGGGCTGGGATGTCCCTCGGTGGGTCTCCAGAGCGGTGCTGGGGCTCTGAGGGTGAGCAGGCTGCGATGGGGAGGTCACTGTGCAATGTTCTCCTCTGCTCTCCGCACTTGCCTGTGTGTTTTTTCCTGCAAGCAGCTGGAGTGGTCTGTTTGCTGGGAATGCTGCTTTATTCTGCCCCTTGACCCTGCAAACTAGGCTTGTGCTGAAGCTAAACAAGCAAACATGAAGCTTGGGACCATCATCTGAATGGCCAGGCTGAAGGGTGAGGGTGTGTACGGAGACAGCACGCAGCAGCAGCACAGCCAAGGATGATTTCTAGCGTAAACAAACGTTGAGAAGCTGGAGCTGGGGAGGAAGGAGAAAACCCTGTCACGTTTGTGCTGGTTTTGGCACACGGGTGAAACTGGGAGGTTGCTACAAGGCTCACTCAGGGGGAAATGGGAGTTTTGCTGCAGGGATCTGAGCTCCTCGCCTGTGGGTTGCAGGAGGGGGTTTTACTCACAGCTGCCACCTTAACAAGATGAGGTTGGGGAGAGAAATGGCCGGGAGATGCGCTTCCACGTGGTGATTTTTAACAAGGGAGCACATCTGGTCCTGGTGACTCGGGAACCGATCGCAGACGTTCAGCCGAGGCAGTGGAGGAGTTCCCACCCGTGGCCTGGCTGGTGGGGTCAGTGATGCTGGGATGGTCCTGATCCTGCCGTGGTTGGTGGGATGCAGCTGGGCCACTCACTGTCAACATGTCTTAGTCCGAGGTGGGCAAACACTGGCCAGAATGAAGGCAGGGGCTGTGCCGAGGATGGGGTGTGGAGCAGCCCTTGCAGGCAGAGGTCAGAGGAAGCCGTGGGGGCAGCTCGGCTGGGAGAGCGGCAGTTTTGCTTTCTATTCTCCGGGCAGAGAGGCATCGCAGGGCGGGCAGCCAGCACCACCTCAGACTGGGGAAAAAAGAGAAGCTGTACAGCCAGAGAGTCATTTCTGGGCGGTTTGTGGTTAGTTTGCTTTGACAGCAGCTGTTTGCTGGAGGCAGTGCAGCTCCGTAAAGCATGGAGCATTTCTCTAAGCAGTGGAATTTATTTCTGTGGCATTTTTGTGGTGCTGTGGAGAGGTCGGGTGTCGCTCTCTGAAGGATGGTCAATCTAAATCCTTAGCAAACGTCAGTAAGAGAGAACTGGGGTTGTTGAGCCTGGAGAAAAGGAGGCTGAGGGGAGACCTTCTGGCTCTGTCCAAGTCCCTGAAAGGAGGGTGGAGAGAGGTGGGGGTGGGTCTGTTCAACCAAGGAACAAGGGACAGGACAAGAGGAAATGGGCTCCAGTTGTGGCCAGGGCAGTTGAGATGGGATGTGAGGAAGAATTTCTTTGCTGAAAGGGTTCTGGGGCATTGGAAGGGGTTGCCCAGGGCAGTGGTGGAGTCCCCATCCCTGGAGGGATTGAAGAGTCGTGTAGACACAGTGCTGAGGGACATGGGTTAGTGGGGGACTTGTCAGTGTTGGGTTCATGATGGGACTTGATGATCTTAAAGATCTTTTCCAATCCAGGTGACTCTGGGATTCTGTAATTCAGTTCTTTTGTAAGGTTGGTGGATCTTACAGCTGAGAAAGTAGCCGAGATGAGAAGGGCCAGCAAAGATCCTGCTGCCGACTGCCATCTTATGTCCTGACGTGCTCTCCACGGGTGTGGTGGAATTCAATTTCCAACATTAGTTGGATGAATCGATGTTATTGTGGCCACAGAAACAGGAGCTAAATAGCCTTTGCATCCTGCCGTGCACTGACCATCCATCGCCTTCCATCTCTTCCCAGAGCTCGCCACCTGCCCAGGGAGGGGACCGCACGCATGCTAACAGGACTGCAGCCCCCGCCACCTGAGCCCTGCTGTGAGGTGGGGACAGCCCAGCCGGCCGGCCAGCAGCAGGAGCGATGGCCCAGTCCCGGGCCAACGGCTCACACTACGCCCTGACGGCGATAGGGCTGGGGATGCTCGTCCTCGGCATCATCATGGCCGTCTGGAACCTCGTCCCCGGCTTCGGCCCCGCTGAGAAACCCACCACCCACGCCGGGAACAGCAGCAAACCCGACCGTGGCACCGGAGGTATTTTGAAGAGCAAGACCTTCTCGGTGGCGTACGTGTTGGTGGGAGCGGGTCTGCTGCTGCTGCTGCTCTCCATCTGCTTGAATATCCGGGACAAGAAGAGGCAAAGCGAAGACATCGCTCGCGTGCAGCACCAGACTGCGTCTGCAGAGCCCTCGCAGCAGGAGGACAGGTGAGCCTTTTTGGGGAGGAGAAAGGGAATCCTGGAATCACAGATCGGTTTGGGTGGGAAGGGACCTTTCCAGGTCACCTAGTCCGTCCCCCTGCCATGAGCAGGGACATCTTCAACCAGAGCAGGTTGCTCAGAGCCTTGTCCAACCTGACCTGGAATGTTTCCAAGGATGGGGCTTCTACCACCTCTCTGGGCAACCTGGGCCAGTGTCTCACCACCCTCAATCTAAGTAATTTCTTCCTCCCATCTAGTCTAAACCTCCCCCCTTTTAGTTTCAAACCATCACCCCTTGTCCTATCCCTGCAGGCCAAGCTAAAAACTCTGTCCCCATCTTGCTTATTAGCACCTTCAAGTATTGAAAGGCCACTAGAAGGTCTCCCTGGAGCCTTCTCTTCTCCAGGCTGAACAGCCCCAACTCTCTCAGCCTGTCCTCACAGCAGAGCTGTCCCATCCCTCTGATCATGTTTGTGTCCCTCCTCTGGACTGGCTCCAAGAGGTCCATGTCTTTCCTATGCTGAGAAAGGGAGTGAGATCTGGCACAGGATTGATGCCAAGAGTTGTTATGCTTCCTCAGAGAGGTCAGGAGGAAGGAGACAGGCTGATGGCAGCGTGTGCTGAAAGAAGGCGAGCACGTCTCACGGTGTAGGGTTCAGATATGTTGCAGAGATCAGGAAGGAGCGAATCCAGCTGGTTTTCTGGTGCTGTAGGTGAAACATTTCCTTGTTTGTGTGTAAGCTGGGGTCTAGCTGGAGCCGTGGCCAAGCAAGCGTTGCGGAGCCTCGCCACTCCTTGCTTGGTCAGCACACCTTCTGGGAGCCGTGGTTAATGGTTAACACAGAAGAGCAGGATCGCTGCTGCAAACCAAGGGAGAGGAGCAGGTGTAGGAGGTGGTGTCTTGGTGGGTGCAGCCGGAGGTGGTTTCAGCCCAGGCAGTGGCTGGACATGGAGTTTAGACCCATTGAAGGTCTGCAGGGCTCTCCTGTTTGCTCGGGGAACTCTTAAGGAGCAGAGCAAAGGCTGCTGGCACAGCAGGCACGGTCTGAACAAACACCGGGCGCAGGAGAAGACCCCGGACATCTCGGCAGCACAGGGAATCGGCGTGGTCCCTGGTGTGGGCTGGTTTTCCCTATAAGATGGTAAAGGTAATTTCATAATGCCAAAGAAATGCCACATATATGTGTGCAGGCTGTGAGCAGGTACCAGTGGTGTGGATGGAAATGTGTCACGTAGATGGTGAAGCATTGCAGAGCTGAATCTCTTTGCAGGACATATCAAGGTAGATACCCAGCCTGAAAAACATCTGGCTGGCAAAGGTGGAGGGGTGATAATGTTCCTTTCCTCGTATTTTAGCTGATTTTTTGAGAGGGAAGGAGAGAAGGCAGTGTTGTGCTGGGGGAAGAAATCACTGTTGAGTGATGGAAAAAGAGATTTTGTGGGTAAAGAATGATGATCAAAGACAGACGTGTGTCACAAGGAGATAAAAATGTGTCTGAACACAGGTGAGGTTGTGATCTGTTCTGTCAAACAACAAGGAACTGGGATATAACGTAGAAGAGCAAATAAATAAAGGGGTTTTCTGGGAGTGTGGTTTTACTCTCTTCTCTCTATGCCCTCCCTCCTGTGAAGCTGAGATGATGCGCTCCTGACAGCCTTAATTTTATCCCCTCTAGTCAAGAAGAGGACGAAGATGTGTCTTCCCAGTACTACGTCCCCAGCTACGAGGAGGTGATGAACACGGGCTACTCTGAGCCCAGAGACTTGGACAGGAGCAACAGGATCAGCGTCTCCCTGCCCTCCTACGAGTCGCTGACGGGGCTGGATGAAAGCGCCCAGCCCTCGGGAGCCCCCGGCCCGGAGCCTGGCACGGAGCGGCAGCCCGGCCGGCACAACTCGCGCCTGAGCAAGCGCCTGAAGCCGCTGAAGGTCCGGAGGATCAAGTCAGAGAAGTTGCACCTGAAGGACATCAGGTTAAACCTCGCGGAGGGGAACAGCACTGCCCCGATCACGATAGAGCCGCTGACCCCTCCGCCCAAGTATGAGGAGATCCAGGAGAAACCCCCGGAGAGCCAGCAAATGACTTAAAAATGAGGAATCTGTGATGCTGCTGGGTTGGGTTTGGATTTATTTTATTGTTTAAAAACAACCACAGTGAGAGGGGCTCGGTCTGTGTATGCAAAAGCAGACAGGGCTCCCTGGAAGCTGTGATGTGGAGGACACGATGGGTGCGTAGCGCTGCAGCACGGGGACGGGACGAGCGTTCTCTGGGACGGGGTTTTACAAAAGACAGTGGGGAAAGAAACCTGAATGCCCATAACTCTGCTGCTCTGAAGAAAATGAAGGCTGGACATCCCACAAGTGTGATTTGTGGTGTTTTACATAAGGACCACCCAACATATTTTCTCACCCCCTCTCCCTCTTGCACCAGCAAGGCTGTTTGAGCCACCAAACTGATACAAACCAAGGGGTTTCCAAGTGGAAAAGGACAACGCTGCTTTTTTTTTTGGTGCCTTTTTTTTTTTTGAGTCAGGGAAACGGCGTTGCCAGAGCAGCGCTGCAGCTTTCCCTGGCTCCTGGCTTTGGGGCTGGGCTGGTGGCTCAGGGCCAGCCCCAACTCCTGCCAAGGTCTATGCTTGCTGGTGGGAAGTGGGCTGAAACCAGCCCTGAGCTCCTTGGGGAGAGGATGGATTTCTTGCCTCGGTTGCTTTCTCTGTTGTGTTTGTGCTCCGATGCGAAGGGACAGTGTGTTTGAAGGCAGTGGGTAACTCCAGGAGGGTTGGGAGGTGTGCAGGGTGAAACACCCCTGAGCAGACCTGTTCTCAATAAATATTTTGTACCTGGTGGTGGTGTGTGCGTGCACTCGTGCGCCGTTGGCCCTCCCCAAGGCTGGCAAGGCGGAGCGATCTGAAATCCGTCGGCTGTTTTAGAGCAGATGCTGCTCCATGGGCATCCTGGCCACATGTCACCTCCCAACAAAGCCATCGATGACCAAGTCATCAGTGTTTTCAACCATCAGCTCCCTCGTAGGGTCTGAATTGTGGTGATCTGGGTAGAGAACAGAACCTCCTGTGAATCTCCGGTGAACTTGTAGCGGGTGTCGGTGTGGCCAATGTACCTCTGGGCTGCTGGTAAGGACGTGGCTTTGTTGGTGTGATGCTGACGTAGTTGCAGACCGTTCAGCAGCGGTGGACTTGGCTGCATGGTTGATATGAGGTATTAGAGGAGTGCAAGGGACCCAAACAAAGACAATGAAGAGATGTGCTGGTCCAAATCCTTGGGATTTACTTGTAGCGGGTGTCGGTGTGGCCAATGTACCTCTGGGCTGCTGGTAAGGACGTGGCTTTGTTGGTGTGATGCTGACGTAGTTGCAGACCGTTCAGCAGCGGTGGACTTGGCTGCATGGTTGATATGAGGTATTAGAGGAGTGCAAGGGACCCAAACAAAGACAATGAAGAGATGTGCTGGTCCAAATCCTTGGGATTTAGCAGGGTCCTGTGGTGGGAGCCTGTGCTAATTAGGGGCTGTCATTTGGGGTGCCCTTTTGCCAGGTATGGGTGGCAGTGGGGCGGGAGGTCGGGGTCCAGTGCCTGGATGGGGGGAAAGAGGCTCAAATGTCACCAAAGCAGAGGCTGCTGGCCTTTGTGTTGGTGACAAGTGTGTTGTTTTTCTTTTTATCTGCTGGAAAAGGGTGTGTAGTGGCCTGGGACAAAGGCACAGTGACAGAGAAACGTGGCGATGGGTGATGGCATCCCCATCACCGGGTTGCAACATTTATCTACTTGCTTGAGGTCGTCAGACCTGTTTGTGTCTGCACAGTATTAATTAAAAAAAAGTAATTTAGGGGAAAAAATGTTAACAAGTAACTTGCATGGTCCCCTGTGAGTTTTTTTAATAGGTGGGGGAACGTTCCTGTGTGTGTTGACGGCTGGCAAGGAGAGCTGCAGCCGGCACGGAGCTGTGTTGTGCTGCCAGAGCAGTTGCTTGGAAAAAGGAGAAGGAAAAAAAGAAACCAAAACAAAGAGACCAACGCACCCAGGAGAGCAGCAGCAGCAGCAGCAGCGGGCTCCTGCGTGCCCGGGGGTTCCAAGGCTACTGGGA